ATGTATTCTTTACAAGGATAAAGTAAGCTAGTAAGATAGATTGATCTTAGTAGTGCTACTACTTTAGTCAAATATTTGTACTGAATTGCAAGTTTGAGGTACTTGTACTATAAACCTTATACATCTACTCCACTACTATCCAAATATTTGTTGTAATATTGTTTAATATTTCAGCTTTAGTTGCTAGTTACTTAAGAAATTAAGATTTTGGCATAGTTTATCAAATATGATATTTTGTTATTCATCTGAGACAAAAGTTTATAAAGCCAAATGGTAAACCGCTTTTTGAATTGGCATCTACGTGTATAAATATCTGAATAATGTTTATAGTAATTTTTTGAATAAGGTGTTTTAAAAATTATATATATTTCTGATATTTCTGTATTGTTTACTTTAGCGTTTAATAACTGCATTTTGCTAATTATATTTTCTTACTTTTACTTAAGTAACATGTTAGTGAGAACTTATACTAGTAATTGAGTATTTTTACAGCATGGTATTAGTAATTTTATTTAAGTAAGGTCAGAATACTTCTTCTACCACTGTTTAGAAATATACAACATAGTACTTCCTGTTGAGCATATAGTGATGTTAGCGGCCTTTAACAGAGGGGAAGTAAAACAGGTGCTGAAAGAGACTGAGGGTAGAAAGCTCTGGAATTGTATTTGTGTGCTGTTGACTGATCTTGTATGTTTGTCACCTGGCGTCATAATAGTTGTCTGGAAGAGTAATGGGCATTTTGTTCCTATCGTCCTTCTAACTTTCCCACCTGGTACCTTTTCTTTGTGTCTGCTTAGCTTGTGTAATGGCTTTGGCATTTTGCAAATTTTTTCGGCTGCCTGCAGGCTCTGAATTTGAGACAGAAACTACGCGTTTAAGAAAAAGCTCCAGGTTAATTATTACTAAAAATAATACACCAACAACAAGGAAATACTGCTGAATCACGCACAATATATAAACCAATCTGAAACGCATATATCTACTATAAGACCTCACTACATTGTGTTTATCCACATAATCGACACAGTGGTGAAGTGGGCAAGTTAAAGTCAAGATATGTCATCCTTTTTTAGTAAAATTGTATATTTTAAACATACAGTAAAGCTTATTCCTCACTGAACTTAATTAATCTGTCCGTGAAAAAAGGAAATGAACATAGAGAGAAAACCAACATTTGGCCTTGTGTACCTCAATCTGGTTTTAAGTTTAGCAAGAAATTACCAAACTAAACTCACGCAGTTGCTGACCTGACACTCGGGTCAAATACAATGAACTGGCTGCTGTTTATTTTGAGTCATAAAAAGAAAGGCTTTAATATGTCTTAATGCTTTCGTAAGCTTATGAGATGTCGTGCATATAACAAACAGCTGATCATAATAAGGTGCATTTTGTTTATAGTGAAACTGAAACTTTTCTCGACTGTACACACTGATGCTGATATTTGATAACATGGATTGTTTTTGGACAGGATGTCTTCAAAATGAGAAAGCTGCATTTATCTTATATGTCAAAAACAGCTACTATTTCATATTTCTTTGTTTTGTGCTAATTGCATCTATGTTAATAAGCCCTCAGTCTTGCACATGGTTGAACACATAAGCTTCTGCAGTTATGTTCTTGCTTTTCATATGCAATAGGTTTTTTCTGCAAGTGGAAATTCCTTTTAACGTGATTCGGTCTGGTTAAAAAGACACCTATCATTTACTGCTCCGGTACAAAATACAATGCATCCTTATTATGTTCGTAGTAAAGGTGAGGTTTGTATTATTTAACTTTTGTTATTGTTATCATAAATGACTCATGACTCGTTGACTTTTCCTGAGCGGCTCTGCTTCCTGGATTAGGGGAATTACACTGAATAAACCAAGAAAACTGTGGGGCATTGTTGAAGCTGCAACTCACTAAATGATGAACTACACATAACCTGGCTTTTTGTCAATTTGAGTTACGATATTCTTTCCATGACAGATCAGAATCTTTGCTTGATTATAAAAGCTGGATTTCCCAACAGCACCCTTTGGTCTTGAACACACCCCCAGGTTGACTAATAGCGTTTCAGCCATTGCTGTACATTTCTGCTTTTTTACTTCCTCCAAAGAGGGAACTGTTAATGATTAGAGCAACTCTGTGGCGCATGTTGCAAACACAATGATGTTCTGAGAGAAAAGGGACCCTTTACTTTGGTAAAAAAGCATTAAAATGTAATTCTCATTGAAATGTATGAAATTAAAGGGTTTTAAATATTATTTCTCCTGCATGGTAAGACTATTTTTATTGTTTATTTCACATTGCCTTAACGTTATAAAGTAAGGGGGGGGGGAATGATGCTCATTCATGATGTGCAAAGACAAATCTATCAATTGATCAACATTTTATAGAGTAATTAATTAAATGAACATTAATATTTGCCTGGAAAGACTTGTCAATAAATACATTTTGATTCACATTATATTATTGTCACACAGAATGTAAACGGACAAATAAAAAGGAGGCATTAGTAATCGATAAACAGTTTTATTTCAAATCATTTTCCGGCAGGGGACCGACTTTTGCCAACGCGGAAGCTGGGAGCTCCAAATAAACATAGAGGAGCTAAACATTACTAAAACATTTTTTTAATAATCTTTCCGGGTTTGTCCGTCCCATTGTTATGAAATGTCCCATTGTTATGAAATGTCCCTTTGTTATTAAATTAGGGAATTTTTTATTCAATTTGCCACATACGTTTATTTAAGGATCAACCAATATTTTTGTTATATGGTATCTGTCCATTTTTATTCTAATTATGACAACTCAAATGTCGGATAAAATAACATGTTGGGTTGAAATTGAAAACTGAAATTTGACTTTTTTGTATGGACCTACAACTTCAGTCATGCTGTAGCAACTGACGGCCATACAAAGTGAAATATTTCTTTAAATAAAAATAGGTTGTTAGAATAGAAACATTTTAAAGATTTTTAAATGTGTTTTGGACTAAAATAGTTCCTGATATAACACCCTGCAAATAACATTAATCAGTGACAGTCAGTAAGTCATTGTTCCGCAATGTCTCTTCACGGGTCGACGGCTTTCTCCAGCATTTGTTTTTTGGTTTTAAAGTTTTGAGTGACAACTATGAAAGGGCTTTTGTACCTATAGCAATCTTGTGGCTTCTCACACAACCCAACACATACAGTTGAAAGGTGAACATTACCCAACGTCTCACACAAACAAAATATTTACCTCCGATCCTCTGTGTGAATATTTTGAATGGAAAAATACTTACTGCAACTACTAAAAAATAGATGGCAATTAGTTATCTTTCTGTCGATTCATCCCTTCCTCTTTTTAAAGACTCTGAGACATCAAGTCAGTTTATGTGTGGTAACACTGAGGGCCATCAGCCACAAAATGGCAACATCAGTAAACAAGCAATATAAAGAAAACTGTCAAAGTGCTGCTAATATGTTTACTGTTGGCTATCAAAAATATGTAAAAAAAAGTGTTTTTTCCAACATTTGGGATACAAAATATTTCCCCTGTTAAAAAAAAAGACTGGATCCAAATAAAAAAATAAAAAAATGTATCCACAGAATGTCAAAAAGTAGACTTTTTTTTTCAATGGTATAAAAATGCTTTAAAAACAAAAAACGATGAAAATAATGTATTTAACAGATTACTTACTTATCTTCCCACTTAAAATACTGTAAATGGTAGTATAATATAATGCAGTTACTTATTAAACATTACAGTTTTCACATACAGTAAGTTCCTCGGGCCTCTTCTATTCAACTTGTATACATGCTGCCACTTGCTCAAATAATTAAAAATAACAACATTTCATATCATAATTACGCGGATGACACCCAAATCTACATATCAGTTTCTATAGATGAATACTGTCGTACTGATTTATTGATCACATGTCTAAAACAAATACATGACTGGATGTGCCGTAATTTCTTACAGCTCAATACGAAAAAAAACGAAGTAATTGTTTTTGGAACCAAAGAAGAGAGAGTTAAAGTCACTGCAGACCTGGAATCACTATCACTCAAACCCAAAAGTCAATCAAGAAACCTAGGTATCATTTTAGACTCTGACCTCAATTTTAACAGCCACATCAAAGCAATCAACAAATCAGCCTAGTACCATTCAAAAAATATCTCGCGTATTAAAGACCTTATGTCCATGCAGGACCTTGAAAAAATGGTCCATGCATTTGTTTTTAGCAAGCTTGACTACTGCAACAGCATCTTCACAGGCATCACACAAGAATCACTCCGTCAACTCCAACTAAATAAAAATGCTGTTGCCAGAGTGTTAAACCGGACAAAGAAAAAAGATCACATTACTCCAGTGCTGAGATAGCTGCATTGGCTTCCAGTGAGTGATAGAATTGATTTTAAGATTTTATTGCACACATATAAAGCACTAAACGGGCTAGGACCCAAATATATCAAGGACCTCTTTCAGCGGTACGAACCCAGCAGACCCCTCAGGTCTTCAGGTGCAGGCCGGCTCACTGTTCCATTTGTGAGATCAAAGCGTGGGGAAGCAGCTTTCTGCATTTAAGCTCCTAATGCATGGAACAAACTCCCAGAACATCTGAGAATGGCTAGCACTTTAGAATAATTGAAATCAGGTCTAAAAACATTTCTTCTTAACATGGCTTTTTAATGTTCTATTTTTTGAACTGTTAAACATGGTTTTCTTTCTTTTAATTGTGTGTTTATGTGTTTATTCTCACATTGACCGTATACAAATGTATTGTGTTTTTATCTGTTTGATCCTTTAAAGCTCTTTGAATTGGGTTATACAAATACATTGCCTTGCCTTGCCTTAAGTTGACCAGAAACAATAACTGATAAGGGTGAAGGGTTTGCTGGAGCACGGAGAGAAGGAAGAAGGAACTGCATTTTACGGACATTATCTTCACTTAATCAGCTCAGGGGCGAGGCATCGAGGCCTCACGCTGAGTATAAGAAGGAGACAGCATCACACACTCCACATTTTCAAGAGCAACTCAAATCTTCACAGGAGTCTTCACAGACACAGGTAAGAACATTTGTGTTTTATTGGGAAGTTTTGATATTTTGGGGTAACATTATGCTAAAACATAGCTTTTCACAATCACCTTTAGATTTAGTTTTTGTATTGACTTTTTATTATTTTTTTATTAGAGATGCTTCTCTCTGCTCTGCTGGGCGTATGCCTGATTCCTGCTCACTCCAAACCAGCAGGTAAGCTACATCGTATTCACTGTTTCATTTCTCCATTTGTGTAACATTACTGGTTAATTCCAAATGATTGCGATATTTGACCAATGTGTTCTTCGCAGGGGAACAACTCGGCAGTCCTCTTCTTCAAACTTGTTTTGAGGAGGCAAAGAAAATTGTTGACGATGCTTACAAGTACTCAAGAGAAGAGTGAGTTCATTTTGAAAATAGTAATTTATATTTTAATATAATTCTGCGATCATGTACACTAAAGAGTTTTTAATTTGCATGCAAGCCATTTATTGCATTATTTCAGAAAAATGTATGGAAAAAGTTACGGATTCTCCCAAAAAATAACACAATTTAAATTCATTGTTTGATTTTGTGACTTTTTCTCCTCCAGGAGTCTGAGACGGGTCCGTAAAGAAGTGGTGCGTCCTCACGATGCTCTCCGCCTGCTGAAGCAGCCTCGCGGTGGAACACGCTCAGCTGTGAGATCTGCAGACTACATGGCACAAACCCTCCGTCTGCTACAGGAGAGGGTGCATCATGTGCACAAACGCTCACTCAATGTGACAGGTCAGACATGTGGCACCAAACAAAGAGAACACCTGCAGACACACACAGAGATCACATTGTTTTCTCACAACTTTTCCTGGTTTCTGAGGTTTACCATTTGGTAATATAGGCACGGAGCATTTCAAGGCTGCAATTATGAACCAGACATGTGACTCTATTAAATATATATTTTGTACAGATTTGCTCTCTGAAGAGGACCTGAATAAGCTGTCAGAAATAACTGGATGTGCAAGTCAAGTCACTTTTCCTTCATGCCGCACAACACCAAACCTCAACACGTATCGCACAGCCAACAGCGTCTGCAACAACATGTAAGAGAAACCTAAATGTTTTTTGAAAAAATGCACTTTTTAATCTAAGAAGCATTTTCATTTATTTTGACTTCTCAAACACCATATTGGACAAAAATACATTGTCAATGTACAGTATGTAAAAAGAAATTGTATTTCATTTGTATATTCATTCCAAAAAAGCAATTTGTTTTGATTTAGTGGAAACTTGCAAGGTCTACTAGAACAATTGTGGCTTACATTTTAAGAGGAAATTCTTTTGAAATACACCTAAACATCTTGAGCCATACACCACAAGAGATGTGTAAACCTAGGATTTCTCAAGCAGCGTTTCCAAACATGACTGTTTTCTGTTTGCTTTTAGAAAAAACCCGCGCCTCGGATCCTCCAACACCCCTTTCGCCCGCTGGCTTCCTGCTGAATATGACGACGCCATCTCCCAACCGAAGGGCTGGGACAGAACTCGAAGATTCAACAACTTCTTGCTCCCCACTGGTTACGACGTCAAATCGCAAATACTCACCTTGATTAATATACGTAAATGCAGATTTAAATTAAAACCAAGTTGTCCTCCACCTTCAGGTGCGACAGGTGTCCAACAACATTCTGAGCACAACAGACGCAGGCGTGGTCAACGACCGAGAATACACTCACATGGTGACCATGTTTGGTCAATGGAACGACCACGATCTCACCTTCACGCCATTCTCCCCCAGCATCCGCTCCTTCAGCAACGGCATCAACTGTGACGAGAGCTGTGAGAAAATCGAGCCATGCATACCCATCCCGGTTGGTTTGAATGCTCAAAAATAAATATATACATGTTGTTTTCACTTAAAATCTTCCCACCATAACTCTTGGACTCTTTCCTACAATCAGATTCCTCCCGGCGACCCCCGCTTGCCCACCGGCCGAAACAGCTGCATCCCTGCGTTCAGATCGGCCCCTGTTTGCGGTTCAGGATACTCCGCCTTCAATTTTGGCGGGGAACCTAAAAAGAGAGAGCAGATCAACGCGCTGACGGCCTTCCTGGATCTG